TGTAGACATGTTAATAGATGTTGGGGTTGGGAATGCATTATTATCATTTATAGACTATTTTTCAAGGTATAATCAAATATTTATTACTAAAGAAGACATTCAAAAACTACTTTTAGTTGCTTGGGCTCTATTAGAACATTCAAATGAGCAGTCATGCCATTCGGACTTAAATATTCTCATGCTACCTTTCAGTAGGCTATGAATGCCATCTTTCACAATATGATAGAAAAACACCTAAAAGGGTACATGGATGATATAATAATCAAATCAAAAAAAGCATAGGATCATATTGAACATTTGAGGATGAGCTTTTTTTGAATGAGAGAAGTAGGCCATGCATTACTTCTACTTAAATATCCATTCATTTTGACGAAGCCCCTAGTCTCAGTGGCTTTGAGGGAGAATACACCATTTATTTTGTATTTAGCTTCCACTACCGTGTCTATAGGTTGTATGCTAGCTTAAACTGTTAATAAGGGACATAAGCAGGCAGTTTAATATTTAAGTAGGTATTTAACTACCACAAAGACCAAATACTCACCTGTGAGATATCATGTTTAGCATTGTATTATGCCTATACCAAATTAAGGCATGATATAATAAACATAGTTGTGTATGTGGTTTCACATTCTAACTTAATTAAATACATGCTTAATCAGCTAATTATGACAGGTTGTATAGGGGAATGGAGACTAGCCTTAGTTGAGTTTTCTATAGCATTTCTGTCTCAAAAATCAATAAAAGGCCAAGCATTAGTAGATTTTATAGTTGATCATCCTTCAGCTGGGTTACTTGAAGACAAAAAAGAATTAACATGTTCTTAGTAAATCTAGGACATTAGGTGCTTAAGTTCAATAGGTCTAGCATAGAATAAGCACCCAGGGTTGGGGTGGTAATAACTTCTCTTATTAGCATAAAAACTATATTATCTCTTCAATTAGACTTTGAATATGTTAACAAGTACTTTAGAATTCAAGGGCCAAGTACCTTCCTCTAGAGTAACTAAGGTAGTCATCCCTGGAGCCGCAGTGGGCAACCTCTTGAGCTTCAACAAGAGCCTTGAGACTATCCAAGTCACTAGTCACCCCTAGGATTGCAGTAGATACAATCTCTCAAGGTTCATCAAGGGTCATTTGACCCTTCAAATAATGAGTTGCCTTAGGGACCATAGTGGAGGTGATCACTTAAGGGTCTGCAAGAACCACTTGAGAACCGTAAGCCTCTAACCTGCCAAGCAAAAGAGGACTTACTTAACCACCCTTGGAGTCATCTAATAGAATCACTGAACAAGAATTCTTGTGAAAAAATATCCCTTTATTACCAAATTTGGTTAAAGGAAGATAAAGAAGAGGCTGCTTCAAGACCACAAAAGGGGATAATGTCCTTTTTCCTTCTTTTAGGTCTGGCACCATTGAAGGGGACGGGGCCTAATTCTTTTTATCAATATCCTCTTCCTTGCTTGTACAGTTTGAGGAATGGCTTTTTTAAGTCTTGGCTTCTTAAGGACTAAGACCTATGAGGAGGCCTCATCATCTTGTTTAATATCCTTGGCACGATCGCAATTGAAAGGACCATCTCGGTTATAAACACAACATGAGCGTCAATATTACCCCTTAAGAAATTTACCAATATCGGAGATTGTGCCCAACAATCTCGATCTACAAAAGTAAGAAACATGTCAGAATGTACAAGTAATGTAATAGAAAGAAGACACAAACAGAAAATGATACTTACTAGTATGACTCTTTATGATATGTCTAAACTAGTGGGGCTGCCACTTGTTGAAATAGAGACAAGCATCTCGATCCACTAACTCTACCTTACACTACTTCTAGGTGGTGTGTGGAATAGCCACTTGATCAATAGCCGTTTTGTCCAGCAACTCTATATTTACTTGGGGAGGCGAACTATGAGGTATGCACTAGTTGAGTCTAAACTGGCCTACCACTAGCTGGGGATGGTAATACTCCATAAAAACCTTAAAGTTTTAGAGGAGGAGCAAGTGAAAGGAAGCCACATCTTCTTAGGCATGGTGGTTAAGAGAAAGACCTCATCCCTGAGCAAAAAAGCAAGTTCCTTTTTCTAATATACTAGAAACCTATACCAAGTAAGAAGGTGACGATATAGAATATTGAAAGGCTTCAAGCTTCTCTGTAAGGACTAATTTTGTCAGCAAAAAATTTAAAGAAATTCTTCATTTCATCCAGAGTAAAGGCACCCGACAAACCAGTACAAGGATGAGAGACGATTGCCTTTTTAGGGAAGACTCCTGATGAAGCAGGGGGAATAGGCAATTGTCTATGGCTTTTGAAACTAGACAGGCCCATGAAAATTACTAAAAGCTTTCTTCTACAAGGAATCCTATGATAACAGAGAAATATGGTGCCCAAGGCCAGTTGATTACCACAAAGTAAAGATTAAGCAACCCACAGATGGAATTGTATAGGCTTTCCTACCCCCAAGGCTAGGATGCATTAACTCAATAGGATCCAGATGAGGACCAAATGCCTTGTATAGGTCACGGGCTCATCAGCTAACTTCTCTAAAAACAGCTCCATGATTCACATATAAGAGCTTGCACCCCTAATCTTGGATTCCAGTTCGGTGGGTAGAGTGACGTAAGATTCTTGCCTCTTGGGGAAGGTGAAAAAGTTCTCCTCCCTAGTAATTTATAAGCCTAAGAACATAAACACATCCTAGATTGTGACAGAGATAGGGCTAAGATAAAAAATGAATGCGTTACAACTAGGAGCCCAGAAACTTAGAAGGGCTATCATCAAGCTAATGGGGATATCAACATCAACTAGTGAGAGCTGGATTAGGTCAAAAGATCCATCTCCTTCCACCATGCTTTATCAATTGGCTTCAGGCATTTAACCTAGTTGGTCCAAGCATGAGCAGGCTGAGGCTAGTTGTTAAGCTTTCGGCAAGAGGATTTAGTAAAAGCTAAGGTTGTTTGGGCCAACAAAAGGTCATGAATTGAAGTTAGAGGCCATGGATTTAGTTGAGTAGGTATTGTCACATCTGATAGGTTGAGAGTGATAGTCAGATACCTGACATTACTTTGGTTGGACAAGTGAAAGCTCTAGGGAGAGTGCTAAAAAGACAGAGTATACTATAATCATCATTTATCCCTAAATATACAAGAATCAGACATAAGGCAACAAAAATTATCTTACCAGAAAGCGATGCAAGGATGAAATGATGATGCCTCTTGAAGTAAAGAAAGTGGAAAATATCAGACTAAGAACTTAATTTCAAGAAATATGAGTTCAAGGTGAAGTATTTATTATAGTAAGTCCTCTTAAAGGGGCAATGAGATTTTGGACAAAAAGAGTCGGGTAAGCTCTCGATAGGGACATTAAAAGGAGTGACAAAAGAAGTAGTAGTAGAGTAAGAAGCTATTGTTGAACAAAGAACTAAAAGGAACAAGGAGAGCAGAAGCTTAAGGGTTAAGAGATGGTAGAGAAAGCAAGAGGAATGGCAAGGAAAAGAAATAAAAATTTATATTGACAAAAAGGTGCACAAAGATGAAGCGACATTTCGATCTTCTTTCAAACGTGCTACATGGCTTACAATTACCTACAATTAGCATGTGGCAGGCATTATTTGGGCTAAAATTGAAACATCACTTATAGTGGGTTAAAACTTAAATTGGGCTGAGTAACTAAAGATTCAAGCCAATAAGTGCTTTAAACAAAGGGCTAGTCCAAAGCTCAAGAGAATAACTTAGTTAGATAAGCACAAGTCCTCAAATCCCTTAAGTGTCAGAGCCATTACTTAGACCATTGGCATATAAAACCATAACCTCAATAGGCCCCAAATCTTGCGAAGACATGACCATTATTCAAGAGTATCTCAAAGACACGGGTTGGCCGTTAAACAATAGAACGCGTTACGAGTAACCATGCCATAAATTTCGTAGACCAAGTATAATGAATCCCTAATATTTCATGAGTACATTTAGATTCCTTGGGAGGAACCACCATAGCTTAGTCATTCTAAAAGGAGAATTAAACCATGGAAAGAAGGATGAAAACACCAAACCAAATACTGAAATTTTCACTTCTATAACTCTTAGGTTCATCAGATAGCTTTTACGTGTAGCTTTAACTACATTTTTAGTCTTGTATTCTTTAACGCTTTGTAATCCTTTAGTATTGATCAAACAATTGTTATCCTACTCTTGTGTATCTTTTACATATAGGTAAACTGTGGTAAGGGAGCTTGGGAACTCTTTGTTATCAATTAAGACTCAGCGCCTTTTGCATACTTGGTAATTTTATTGTTCCCAATGAAGAAAAACATATTAGTTTAATTGCAATTATATAAATCATCCACCCAATTATTTTTAATGGACCATTAATCACATAAATTTATTGATTTTGTTTATTCTTCTACCATGTTAAACTATATAATTTAGTGTTTTCACTTTGTAATTTGTTCATATTCATAATTTTAAAAAATATTATTCCACTACCAAATTTCTACCTTAATAATATATTTTTACATTTTCTTAACCTTTTGGATTCCATTTCAATATGAGTTTTTGATAATATTTTGATAAAATTGAAAGCATATTAGTTTAATTGCAATTAATTTTTAGTCTAATTATGGGTTGATCCAAGAGCACCTTGAACCATTATTAGTTCAATAATCAATATAATTATTTTTTTTGTACCAATCTATATAATTATTGAAAACATTACTTTTTACCGTCACAAAAACTTAACCTCATTTATTTTGTCTTATATTTTTCGTACGTTTTGTGCCATCATATATAATACATATTTAATTTTATGCATATCATGCAATGCTTTAGAATTGAAAGAAACCTAATAACACGACTTGAAAAAGTCAAAGGTCCTATGAACTTGGCATATGATATACGTTGCTTATTGATTTCTATCCAAATCACTCAAATTCAACGTTGGCTTATTAGTCTATTCAACACAATTATTTTCTAAATGTAATGATAAATGAAAAAGAAAAACTGAAAATTCACCTACTCCACCATCGTATGATATTTTATTCTTCCAAACTCAATATTATATTATTGTACACCAAACAAACTGGTTCAGCAACAACACACTACATCTGAACTATAAAATTATTCGAAGTAGCAAACAAATTAAATTCCACCAATGCAAAATGAACCCATCAAATGCAGAAAATGAAACGAAGCCTCCCCTATAATCATGACTATAACTAGAAATGAAGGAGCAAGTTCAGACAAATAGTTGCGAGAAGAAGAGAGAAAGCAATGGCCAAAGAGGTAGCTGAGGATGGCGGCGGAGATTCTCCGCCTGGGGTTGACGGAGGTGATGATCCAGGAGATCCGGCAACGGGCGGTGAAGGGGAGGAAGAAGAGTCTGTGACATTAATGCTTAGCTTTTGACCGCTGTTACAGTGACCTGAGAAAGTACAAGCAAAGTAAAATTCCCCGGTTCGGTTCAGAGTCACTCTAGCCGGTCCAGTGGCAATCAAGTCAATAGGGTCATTCACGTTGCAACTATCAAAGTTGGCTTGAGTTAGTATGGCCACGTCGTGCCGTTGTGTGGCGAAATCGAACACTACAAAAACAAAAAGAGAGCAAGAGGAGAAGAAGGAATTAATGGATGCTCGTCTCTATTAGAATTTTTTAATTGGTGTGTATACATATAAATAGACTTGGACACTTAATCTTAACCTAAAACTTTAAAATAACGAGTTTTAAAGGTTTTTTTTTTTTTGGTTAGCCTAATTCTATTTAGCATAGTACCTTTTTGCATGCCCACTCCAAATCAAATCCACTTACACCTGACATTCTACATGTAGGAAATAATTTATTTTCTTTTTCTATATATGTTTAGCGACAAATCTAGAACATGACACATCGGGGGCCAAAATGAAAAACTCATGAAAGTGGGGGGAGGGGGAATTAGTTTTCTCATTTTTTCCAAGTAAAAATCAAGAAAATTTATCCAAAAATTTGTGACATGGTTGCTTGCCCCCCGATCCATCCCTGTATATGTTGTCAAAAGACAACAATAGAACTCTCCAAATTTTATTTTCAAGTCATCACTTTCAATATATTTTACTAAAATTAAAGAAAACTTTAAAATTCATTAACTCTATATAAAAAGTTAACAAGTTCACAACCATACCCTTATTAAACATACATACTTTAATAATATATTTTTTCTCCAACATTTAATGGAGGATAGAAGCAGAAATTTGATAAAGAATTAATGATATGACTTATAAATAAGAGTAAAGAATCTTCTTTCCCTACTTTATAGGGAGCATAGCCGTAAGTTTTTATGCAATAAATGGGGCAGGATCTATTTTGCAAGAGAGAGATTTAAAAGATGAGCTTTGATCTCCATCTTCGTGATATACCTAGAACGTCGTTGACGTTGAATGTCAAATCTGCTGCCCAGCTGGAATAGAACGAAGCTCCACCAGAAGGATTATTTGTCCACCCTGTGTTGCCACCGACTGTGAAATCTTCGGCTTCTATGCTGTGAAAGATTGCTGCAAAAGCAGCCACAACAAGAATCGCCGGCACGTTCGCCAACTTGGCCATCTCAACCTGATGATGATATTATGTGATCTCAGGTCGTCCGGTGGCTCTATTGATTTCTGTTCTATACACTCTTTGATTGATGTTTTAGCTTGAAAGGACAACTTGCCTTGTGTTGAATATATAAGCACGGCCTTTGAAAGTGTATTTTAATGTTAATTTATGTAACAAAGTTGTAGGTGAGGTCAGCAGATTGAAATGGTCTTAAAATGCTGTATTTTATGTCAGGCTAATTCCAACCAAACGCTAATGACACAAAAATAAATACATTAATAATACATTGATGATTTCATCATGCATGTATGTATAATATATATACATGATTAACCAATCAAATTAGTTTCCGTGAAACATTGGGACATTGACTACATGTAATTTCAAGTTCTACTAATTCTAGAACTTTTCCATCTATATGGCTTTTTGAGATAAATTATACAAGTAGAAAAAAAAAATCTAGTGCGCCAAGCACCGTATAGAGAAGTCATTTTGAAAAGACTGACTTCTTTCATTTTTCTGCTTGTAAGTTAATCTGATTTCACAATTTAAAATGCGAGGTAAGTGGATTACACATATCACAACAAAACACAAGATTGGTGAAAATATGTTAACCAAAGTGGTGGCCGGTGGAGGGAATTATATATGGCTAAAAACTATGTTATTTGTTCTTTTATTCTATATATTAATGATCAATATATTATTTTTTGCCCAACCGAACCTGATCTAGGCCAGTCCACCATTGATCCAATGTAACATCCTAACTTTTTGAATTGGGATTTTATTGAAAATAGTGAGGGTAAATTAGGAAGTTGACAAATAAATTAAGTTTATTGAGTTTTTGAATCACTAATAGACCTTTGGGGTCATTTAGGCAACTTCAGTTTGGGCTAGGAGGTTGATTGGGCCATTTGGGCCTTAAGGGAAGGCCCAACATGCTATGATGAGCAGTCTGAATCGTTAAAGTCTATCACAAGTGACTCATGACAGATAGAATGAAATGAGTTGGTTTAAATGGTTCCTTAACTATTGGCACTTAGTTTGTGATTTTTGGGCACCTTTGGAGCTTTTTTAAGAATAAAATGTTGCTTTTAGCACCTGGATCATAATTAGCTCTTAATCATAATTAAGGCCCAAGAATCCCTTTAGTGTCATTAACAATAAACGACCCCATTTCTAGCTTCCATTAGTTTATTTAACCTCTTATAGGCTTAATCATCACTATTAAATTAACTCATTAGCTTAAATTTAATTACTCAGTGTTCGGACTAACCTTGAACACATTGTTGATACGATAAATCACCCTCATTAGAGTAACCTAATGTTTGAAATGGGAAACAATCTCCCAATACCCCATTAAAGTCATAAGAATGGCTAGAACTCCCTTCTAGCTTGAAACATAACGGCCATAATCCCAAAACTTAACCAAAACGCATAGAGAAAGAGGAGAAGAGAAGAGGAAGTTTACACGATATTTGGTAGCCTAAAGCCACTTCAAATTGATGTACACAACTAACCCTAGCAAAGCTCCTGAGTTTCTCTCACTCTCTCTTGTTTTTCTTTATGTTTTTGCTATGAAAGTGCATTTAGGAAATTTAAATTCCCAACATATCTATCATGCTGCATTGTTCCAGCCACTATAGTGGATGATACAGAATGAGAAACCTTAAACTAGCTCATTTAATTGGGCCTAAAGTGGCCTAATAACACTTATGGTCTAATTTATATTCCCATATAGGGTCTAATAGATCCAATAGTCATCCATCCACTCTAATAAACCAATGAAGACCTCAGTTAAATAATTAATCCCCTTACTTAATTTAATTAATCTTATTTTAAATTTTAGGATGTTATAGAACTATACTAAATTACTAAAATGACAAAAGTAGGTAAAGAGTATTTAAAGTCCCTTATGAAAGATGGTGATCCTTAGAATTTTGATGGTGAAAGAATCATAATCCAAATATGATGTCGTTTTGATTATGTCTCCGATTGGTCAATTAGTGATCTAATTTAACTCAACCTAGATTACCTTACCTCTTATTAATTCCATTAACTCAATGGTCTTAATGAGTTCTTCTAATTAAGTCTAAGATTTCCAATCTATCAGTCTCCTCTCTTGATTAGACCATGGCTTGATGATGCTTAGGTTATGTTACAAACAACGAAAACCTACTAAGTCTAGCTAAGAGCAAATTCACAACCTATGGAAAGTATAGTCAAGGCTATCAATACAATAACACAAACGATGTAATCATCATATTGAATTAAAGATCAAATCACACGATTCACAAGAGAAAGTGCTAAATAGATTTCCTCAATCAAGAACAATGATAAACCCTAACTAATGGCATTTCAGCCACAATGTCACAAAGCTAACTAAGAATTTACAACAATGAAATGAATTAAGAAAACTCGAGCACAACTGTCTTAGCTAATTGAAGAATGGATTTATCTTCAAGCCATCTTTTTGCCAGGGTTCTTCATGCTCCTTAGCCTTCAAGTTCCATCTTTAAGTCCACCATGGAAGCCTCAACTAAGAACTTGGCCATGATTATCTCTCTAAGGGATTGAAAACATGGATCAATGAAAATTACAAGGGGTTTAGACAGATTTAAAGAGAGAAGAATGAGATGAAGATTGATAGATTTGGTTAAGAGATGAGAGAGATTTAAATGAGAAAGTGTTAGGAAAGTAGAGCGAAAATGAGAAAAAATGGATGAATTTTGAAAGGCATGGAATATGTAACATCCAAAAACTCTAAATCTAGAATAAATTGTTAATTAAGGGATGAATTAGTTAAAAAATAATTAATTAATTTAATTATATTTTTGGATTGCTAATTGGCTTCTTGAATCATATTTGGCTCTAAATTAAGCTAAGATGGAAGTTAGATTGAATCGGGTGGTATCGAGGGGAGCAAAAATGACTTTTTGATTGCTGTATCGTGAGCTACAGCTGGTGTGTTGTGTGTTGTGGTGCACAACACAGCACAAATAGTTTAAAATATGAAGATCATTAGAAAAATGTAGTTTTATAGGGGAAAGACCTATGACATAAAGGAGAAGGCTTTGCGCATTGCTAGGGCCTCATTTTGGGAGGATTTTAAAGCTAAATTAGGATTTCAAATTCTTGAGTAGGGTTCCCACCCTTCTCCTTCACTTTTTCATCTCCTTTTTCAATTGACTCTAAAGGTTTGATTTAAGTTTCTTAACCTTGAATAAGTGGTAATATGGACCTTATTTATTTTTAGGTATAAATTGGATCAAGCCCTAGCTTGATTATGGGGTTTTGATGTGTGACAAGTTGAGATACTAAGTGTTATGTTGTGATAGAGTTAGAGGAAGGCTTAAGGGGATTGTGTGAACAAATTGTAATATTGACAAGCCTCTTTGTTGAGAATATGAGTAAGAAGTGGAAGAATAGGGATGATAATGATAGCTAATAGTACTTGTGTTAATTGAAAATCGACATAGTATTTGTTGTTATAGATTGTGGTGTAAGAAAACTTGCTTTGACATAAGAAGAGATTTAGTACCATGAGTAATCCTTTTAGTAACAAAAGGGTTGAGGTAACTAGATAATTGCATTATTTATTACCTTATATAAGTTATTCTCAAGTTGTTCTTCTATGATTTGTTATGTATATATGTATAAATTTTATAAAAGTTAACTACTTAGAAAATGAGTATTGATTTGTGAAATTTCATGTTTTTGAAGTAAGTAGTAGGATTGGTTATATTTTCTTAGAAAATGGTTTGTGCATGGTCAAGTGAAGATATGTAGTGAAATATAGCATGTTAGAGGGTAAGAGGTCATCTTAGTGAAGTTAGTAGAAATCAAGTCCATATAGCACCACTGGCAACTCAGAATGCCAGGTGCAGCTCATATTTCTCCTTAATGCTCAAAAAAGGGTACGATATTGGAGAGTTACTCTCCTTAGTACTTAGAAGGGTATGGAGTTGGAGACTATACTCGTTAGCATTCATAGGATGTGGTGTTAGAGTAATGACATCCTAATTACTTGTAATAGAGGGAACCGGTAGTCTAAAAATAGTTTAGGACACCTTAGCCGGGTAGTCCTACTATGATGGTGAGCTTGGGGACCATAAATGTGGTTTGGTTTTGTGAAATAGCCTACTAGTTTGATAGGGAGTATTGGAGGACTAAATGATTAATGATCATGCATTTAAATTATGGTGATTGTATATGGTGTGTTTATTATGATTATTTCAAAACTTATTTAACTTGGCTTGTTAATTGATATTGTAGATTATCATAATTACTGAGATTTTTATCTCACCTTGTATTTATCATTTTATAGGTTTTGCCACTAAGTCTGAGCAAAGAAAGGAATCGAGCAAGGGCTAGCATACTTACTGCATTACACTTGTGATGTTCGATTTTATTTTGAGTTGTGTATGTAAACTTATATGGATGATATCATGAGTTGTCAACTAGGAATGCATGTTATTTTGATTGGTTGCACTTGTATTATATTATGATATTTTTTATTTTAGCCCAATGTTGTATATGATGTGAATATGTAGTGATTTTTATGGTGATAGGCTAAAATAATAATACAAATGTAAGAAATGTTGTATACATGTGGTGATAATGTATATGTAATGTATTATGTGGCAACAGAGGCCAAATGATGTATGTGATATTGATTTTATATTTTGGCCATATTAGGTGAAATTGGCATTAAGTGGCCAAATTTTATGCTTGGTATGTTTTTGTGTATTTAAATGTTCAATCAGGTGTATTTTCATCTATTAAACTGGGTTCAAACCTCGAAATGGGTTAATGGTATAAGTTGAGTTTTGGGTACTTAAATGCTTGAAAATTATTTTAAAAAATTAACTTTTGCATTTGAATGTCTAAAATTCTCATACAGTGTTGAATCATAATGAAACTTGTACAATTAGTTAGCTCATTAAATAAACTTCACATGGACACTTAAATCACTCCAATCAGACATCAAATGCAAAAATGGCACTCATTTGAAGTTCATCCTGAAAAGCTATCATGACAACATTTTTGCTATCATAACAAGGACATGTGATCTACGGTGCATTACCCACAAGCTATAGTG